ACCTAATAATACACAAAATGCCAAAAGGTTCTTAAACTACCTTTTTTAATCTAAAAAAACTCCCTTCACACACACACACACACACATATATATATATATACTAGATTCTTAAGGCCCGTGATACGGGCCCAATATAATCAATTATTAATCATTATTTGACAAATATTAAAAGGTATTTCTATAGCATTCTGATCAACATGAATTAATATTGATCCTGGTAAAAAATTTAGTATAAAAAAATATCAAAAAATAACCATCAAAGAATATAGTGCATTGAATGGTGTTTCTCCTTCCTTAATTAAATATCTTAATTTTGAGTTTTGGATATGAAAAAAATTCTTAATAGAGAGCTCTATATCCGAATGGGCAACTCCAATATAAATATCGAATACTGAATAAAAATATTAAATTAAATTAACCCAATAATATTTTAAAGTATAATTGATATTAGCGATGGGTAGATTCATTTTTTAAGTTGTAAAACTCTGAAGTATAATATTCAATTTATTTATTTATTACTATAAGACACAAATTTAGTAGGCTTCAGAGTTAATTTGTCTGTTAGATTGGATTATATCTTATATAAAAATCATGAATCATTATGTATTATCATCTTGAAATCTATCCTATTCATTTCAATTAATCTGTCGAATTTTTCTTTATAATCTATTAAAAAGTAATGTCCCTTTTCTTTTCTTAGTTCCAACTCCACATAGCATATTTAAGATCAGAAAATTAAAAGACATTTACTATATTTCACATATTTAAAATTTAAAATCACAAGATTAAAAAATCTTCCTTAATTTCTTAAACTTAATGCCAAATCAATATAGAACAAACGCATTGAAACAGAGAGATTAATATTTTTTATTTATCACTCATACATAAAAATTAGAGCTAAGAAGCATGTCTCACTATTACATGAAGTTCTACATATGCATAATTTGTCTTAATGAACATAATTTTTTTAGCATGATATAAATGTGTTTTTGGTTCTCTTTTTTCATGCACAATAACTTATAGGAACAAGTATTTTTGTTATTTTTATCAATTTAGTGAAAAAATTTCAAATAATCTGAAAACATAAATGCATTTTCTCTGTTTTAAAAAAATCTATTTAGAATTAAATGCTAAATTAGCATGATATTTTAATACATAGATCACTACATATCGTATTGATTTTCCATCCAGATATTTTATCTTATT